ATGTTGATTCTACTTTGGTGTTGCTTTCTTCTTTGACCATTTCAATTTTCATTTTCTCCATCTCTAACATTTCCCTCATTTTAACTTCTGACTGTTTTAATTTAAATTCATCTTCTTTTTCTTTTATTTTTTCCATCTCTAATCTTTCTTCGTTTTCCAATTGTTTTTATTTGAATTAATGTTCTTATTCAAGTTGTTTTAATTTGACAGCATTAACATTATCGACCTTAAGTTCAAGAGCCTTTTCACCAAAATTTCTGAGTCAATTAAATTGTTTATTACCAAATATTTTATAAATTGCTTTCTCAAAGATACTCTAAAATCTATTTTCAGATGTTTAGCAAGCAACACTAATTCCTCTTTCTTTTATTTATCCAACCCCTATGGTGTTTTCAAAAATTTACCAACATCAAATGCCATTTTGTAAAATTTTGTTGGCTAATTTTAATTCAATAAAATACTGAAAATTTTTTAATCTTAAATAAACGTTATCCTTGACGAGCCCTCAATTTCTGTTACGGCCAGAAATCACCTTTAAGTTGTAGCCAACAAAAGACGAAAAATCGATAATAATTTTAACAAGATTTATTATAATACAAGAAATAATCTACAATGCTTTTCAATATAAAAAATGGCAGTATACGCTATAAATTTATTGCTTTGGGATACGAAACGGCATATTTTGTTAATAGTGAACAAAAAGGTAAAACATGCTACACAAGGAACAAGTGATCAGTATGCTGGCGTTTCTCATTGACAACATATTTGTTGAATCTTGAGGTAGACTTTTTCAGCAAGTTGTCGGCAATCCTATGGGAACGAACTGTGTGCTTCTCCTTGCCGACCTCTTCTTATTTTCATACGAGTCGGAGATTTAACACTATCTTAAGACCCCAGCGTATTTATGGACAAAACATTACCATGGGCCCAATGTTCAAAAGTCTTCAAAATATAGATCGCCATCTGGGCGCTTTGATGACCTTCTTTCACATCTTCATCATCCGCTAGGGTTACATTACATTAGAACTATTCTTTTTTCATTGCCTGTTAATATTCTTAAATATTTGAGAGATGATGCATTAGACAAGGGATGCATGGATACATTTTCTCCAATATACAGACTGGTCAGTATAATTTGTGGTGTAGCTCTTTACCGTCTTTTTAAACCAGTAAGATCGGAACCTTAACATGATAAAAAGAGAAAATTCCTTCTTATTCAGTTCACTAATAAAGGAATTGATGCTATCAACATCAGCAACGTTCTTCATCACAAAAAGGTAACATCGAAAATCCATAATATTTTCTAAATCAGTCTGTTCCTATTGCATCCTACAGTTACACCAAAACCATTGCACCGAAAGTATTTAACTATAAGCAATCATTGCAGGACCTTGATTTAGATAAATACCTAAAAAAACCTCAGAAATGTGACTGTTCCCATTCGCCTTTTAGTTACAGTCCCTCTGGCTAAATTCTTACCGGGGATCTAAGCATAATTAAACAAGAACATCTTCGAAAGGTGATATCTCATGTTCTTAAGTTCAGAGAACCCCAACACATCAATTGGAACCATAACTACAGAATAATTATTGATTCCATTGAGGACTACGCCAGAGCATGAGCTAAACGAGAAGAAGTTGAACTGGACACATTGTCAGAATGAGTCAAAACAATCAGTTATCTGATGAAACGTCGAATTCATAAGCTGAAAAACTTTGTGATTGATCGACCAAAGTCCGTTTTCAGGAACAAAGATGCTGTGAAATGTCTATGATCTCTTCACGATAAATATGTTGTTGTTCCTGCGGACAAAGCTTCAAATAATATTGTTTTTGCATGTTCTTTAAAGGAATTGTCCATTAGATTGACAAAAATTCTGGCCGCAGTGAAAGAGGGTCTTCAGAAATACTGTGAAACTGTTTACTCGCGTAGTGGTATCAAACATATGTTGATTCTAAAAAAATCTAAATAACTTCTTGATAATTTTAAATTTCGATCTTCCTCCGAAATTAATTGTATCAAAACTTTTGATTTTTCAATCCTGAATACCACTATTCCCTATTTAAAAATTTGAAAATCGTCTAAATGAAATAATCCACAATGCTTTTCAATATAAAAATGGCAGTAAACGCTATACATTTATTGCTTTGGGATACCATATGGCATATTTTGTTAATAGTGAACAAAAAGGTAAAACATGCTACACAGTTGAACAAGTGATCAGCATGCTGGAGTGTCTCAGCAAGTTGTCGGCATTCCTAAGGAACGTTTTAGAAAAAGGTAAAACATGATACACAGACGAACAAGTGATCAGTATGCTGGAGTTTCTCAGCAAGTTGATGGCATTCCTATAGGAACGAACTGTGCGCCTCTCCTTGTCGACCTCTTCTTATTTCCATATGAGTCGGAGATCCTTCAGACACTTGTCAAAAACATGAAAATCAAAGAAGCCCGATCATTTAATTTTACATTCATATAATTATACTGATCATGTTCTTTCCATTTACAATCCAAATTTTTCTGATTGGGTTCCAATAATATATCCTCCAGAACTAGAAATTAAAGAAACAACAGAGAAGGTTCCTCCGCCTCATTTTTAGACTAACAGTACTTGGATGGTGTAAACTTCCCACTAACACTATACACCATTACACCATACACCCTGTGCCAGTACACTATACACGTTACACCTCTGTACCATACACCTTACACATTACACCATAATGCAATTTAATTTCAAAGAAAGCCTGCGACTACAAAATTATTTATTTGTTTTAAAAAACGAATTTTGATCGCAATATTATAAATTAATGTATAAAATTAAAAATCAGTTCTTATCAATATTTTGCATAGTTTTAAATGTCGTACACCATTCATTCACACCATTCCCGATCGCACGTTACACCATTACACCATTCCCCTTACACTTTACACCATAGCACCATACACCTTCTACCATTGCATCATATGCCATACACCATTACACCATACACGTTTTTTTTTTTGGGAAGTTTACACCACCCAAGGTCTGTGTACCTCGAATTTGACATAAGCGATCATCTCAATACCAAAATCTATGACAAGCAAGACGATTATAATTTTGAAATTATAAATGTTCCCCACCTTAGTAGCAATATACCAACTTCACCTGCATATGGGATGTACATTTCCCAACTCATTCGGTATTCAAGAGCTTGCAGCTGCTACTCAGACTTTATAAAACAACACCCGTGTCTGAGCAGACAGTTGATGAGCCAAGGTTATGTCAAAGAACGTCTCGTCCTGTTTTTTAAAAAGTTCATTGGAAGATACCAAGACCTTGTTAATAAATATTCTGTATCAACTACACAAATAATACATGATGATCTTGAAGTATAGATTGTAGGTACTGTCGTTGTTTATCATCGTTACGTGTTATAGTTCCCTTTTCTTTGTCCTTGTATATTTTTTACCTTTACTGTTTAGTCCATTTTTTATTATATACTTATGACATGGCTCAGTACTTATACATCCCGTCATTGTGTTATTGTGCTATGGTCAATTTTGAATTCTTGTCTTTCATTTTGGCTTATGTACTTTGTCTCTATGGCATTTTGTGTTTCTTTGTTTGAACATTTATTTGTTTTTATAGTGATTAAGATTATATTACAATGTTGACTGCTGTACTAAAATTTTTGACGTTTTTACCTATTTTGTCTGTTTGTTTTGCTCACACATTGTTGTCAATATAATGGAATTCAATGCGACTGTCTTACAAGTGAAAGGTTTAGCTAGCTATCAAACCAGGTTTGATCCACCATTTTCTACATAAGGAGTCAGGAATATGACAGTTGTTTTCCATTCGTTAGATGTGTTTGAGCTTTCGATTTGGCAATTTTATAAAGGACGTTCCGTTTTGAATTTTTAATTTCCCTTGGAATTCGGTACTTTTGTTACTTTACTTTTTTCTATTCTTTCGAAATAAATATCAGAAAATTTAATACTGGTATCAAGTGAAATGATTATTCGAATATTTGTCATGTCATAATTACAAAAATGAGGAGAAATATTGTAACAGGTCTACATCTAAGCCCTTCTGACCTCATGTCTTGATAACGCTTTGAAATAAAGCTGTTGATAAACATAACTTGTTGTTTATTACTGATGAAGTCCTCAGGCCACTCAAATCTTTCTACATATGAAATATATTGCTCAATTTGAACGAATTTAAACCTCGATCTGTAACTGGTTTTTATATGACTATTTATAAGATATTGTATCAATAGTCAGAAATTTTAAGGTTTCTTGTGTAATAAAGAAATTATATTAATACATTGTATAGGAAATGTTGTGGTATTCAATAGCAGGTTTTCAGTTCAGTAATTGGTAAAAAAAATTCTAAGATTTTTTGCGTTAAAGACGGTTTCAATTCACCATTCAGTCATAATTTTGCTTTCATGGAACTTTTTGTTTGAGATGCTTTTGAAAAACAAAGTAGACGATACTGGAGGGCATTCCAAAACCCTAAGTCAAAGAAAGACATAAAACACAATAAAAAAAATCGAAAAGACAAATAGGAGTTTTTAACACAGTATGCATTACATTAAACAACATGAAATCTACAAAACTCTGACAGCTAGTCTGCAGGAATGAACGAAGTTGCACCAATGTTGCTAAAATATTTGTTTCTATTATATAAAAGGGTAGTATTCCATTTTTGTAACACGATTTACAGTGAATGAAAGGGATTACAGTTGAAAGTGCCTTTCTTAATTTAAGATGATGGACGATATAATGGAAACAAATATCCAATTTTTAACAGTGCTATCGTCTCCTGTAGCAATATGACAACACGAATCATATATCCTCGTTTTTATTAGTTCAAGAACTAATAGTATTTTAAATATATCGATTTCGGAATGTATAGATGTGTGTTAGATAGATTAGGTAATTCATTAACACTACAGTAAACAATTAAATTTGTGTAAATTTATATTTATAGATGTTAATTTAATTCATAGGAAAATTACAACCCAAAAGTGATGTCGATCAAAATCTTGGCTGTTCCGTTATTGTGCCTAGAAATGATACGTTTGTATTGAAAGCTGTTGACTGCCATTCAAATTACTGGACAATATGTGTAATATATGGAGGTAAATCTTGTCAAGAAAAGTAAGGTTACCAATTTTCATTCCTGATTCAATAGTATACAGTTATATAATAATTACTCTTACTAGTTATCAGGATTAACATACTTTCACTAAAACTTGTTTTTATATAACTTTAACTTATCCTTTTACAAAACTGAATGTATACTGCATCGATTCATTATAACTTTGCGCCGTTATTACATGACGTTGTTTCACATACACATTAAATGATTAACAGCTGTACATATTCTTCACTCAAAGTTGGAAAAGTGTAAATTATAGGAAATATTGCACATTGATATCATAAAATATTAGCCACAATTCACTAGATGAACTTTTAAAGTGATTATTTGTTGATAAAGTTATCAATTTTGCGTCCCATAAACATATGTTATGCTACCAACAAAATTCCAGGACAAATAGTCAATGTTTTTGTCCGTCCTGCCTTTCGTCCATTCGACTGTGTGTCCTCAACTAATTGTTTTCCGGATGCGAACTTTAGTTTCCCGAGCTTGATTTGAATGGAAATAGTACTGATACTGATGTAAGAAATTAGATAGGAGAAGATCACTATTAATTTTTGAATCAATAGCTCTAAAAATAAAAAAAAATTGGGACAATTGGCTTCCATTTGGTAACTATTTTCCTTTCCTGATTGGAATGAAAGTTCTAGTTACATTGAAATATTACTTACTTTTGATAGTGTTAATAGTATTCCCAATACCTGGCGGGCTAGACAGTCTGGAAAATCCTTGCCCAATGTGTTTAAAATTGAAGCCTTCACAAAATTATATTTTGGAATGACAACTCGCGTGTATATGTATAACAATGATTTTAATTTCCTCTCAATAATGTTGCAGTAAGGTGAAAATGAGTTGGCAGTGTCAACTGTTCACCTGTTTAGCTTGGTTGTCCTTTTGAAAGTAGATTGAAACCTTCTGATGTCATTGTGACGTCGTAATCAGTTCTGTTTTCCATAGAAATAAAGCTTTGATACACAGTTTACGGAGCGAATATACAGGGTAATATAGATTAAGGAAAGTACGATACATTAATCATGTTAATAGTGTACCGATACACTCAATTTATAGTCAGCTCTGCGCGTGCCGTGTGTTATTTTAATGTAGGAGTTGATTTAACGTTGATCATATAATTTTTCGTGGCGTCAAAAACAAACCATTAATCCTACAGCGGAGATTTATTATCCGATTTAGTAATTACTTTAATAAATCGCTAATGAATTTAGTAATACATTAACCTGTTTCAAACTGGTCTACATCGAGAATTTCTATCCATCAATGGTTTTTATTTATTTTTTTAACAGGACACGTTTGTACTGACCAGGAAAATCTTTCCAAATGTTCGTTGCATTTCAAAGATGGAATTAAAGCATATTCATTGTGTTGCATGTAGCTACAAGTTTATTTTGAGCTATTTCTGCATATAACATGTATAAATGAGTAAATTGATAATTTATTTTTATTTAACATGTTTAATGTATGAAAAGATTGGTATATTAAATCATAGCAACATTCCCGTTGGGTTGATAGTTGTGCCGGTGAACACCATCATCTAATCGTCGACTTCCGTAAATTAACTGTCAGCAACGAGGATCATTCTACATTGTTTTTTGTATTTCTCTTACTTTTATATCTTTGGTCAAGTCTCTACAATTTTTGTTTCCATTTTAGTTACTAGACAAATGGGATTCACAGAAACTTATCAGTTGGCAATTAGTAGATGTTCCTCGTTAAATGGGACAATACTTAGCATCTTCGACAATCTTGATAATTTGGAGGATGGAAGAGAGTACTGGTCTAATATATTTAGATCCATGTTTTTGAAATGGACAACTAATGAATCATTCGATGAAATCTGCTGTAGGTTTATATGTTTAACAATTATTGCATTAAATTCGAATTGTTCGTACCAAGCTAGCCGCTGGTAGTGTTTATGTTAACAATAATGGTATTCATTAATCATGCAAGTAAACTTAAAAATACTCGATCCAAAACGGTCCTCAATCACATGTGTATGTGATCATTGAGGAGCTCAGAACTTTAAACCAGGAATGGTTAGGGGAGTCCAAGTCCAAAGTAGTATGTATGCATGACTGGTCTTGTCGAAGTCATTCAGTCGCTTATGGAACAATAGAAGGTGTCAATGTGGTTGTGGTATATGCTCTTATATTTTACGATTATGGACTGTTTGATCTTGAGAAAGTTATTCTTTGTTTTTTTTAATTTCCTATCTTGTCAGTTTGTCTAAATGCATGTTTTTCTTCGGTGCTCATATAAAAGGTTTATAGCTTATATTTTTTTTGTTAAAAAAAACAATCCAAGGACCAAGTCAAATTTCCTAATTGGTAAAGTTTAAGGTTAGAAATTTACATAACCGATGGTTCAAGAATTTAGTGATGTTTTAGCGTTAGATAATGGTCAGTTACAATCAACTAGTGTGAAGATGAATCACTTGCAGTTACTAAATAACGCATTTCATAAGAGTAAAACGACGAGTATCACATGGTGAGCAGGATCTGATAACGCTTCTAAAGCATCTGAGTTCACCCCAGGGTTTTTTTTTTTTCGTGTTGCTCAGTTTATAGTTTTCTATGAAGTAATTTGTTTGCTTTTTTAGTCTTTACGTTGTTTTTCATTTTTATACGTTTGTCTATGACGCTTGAGTTTTGAATGTGCTCTTGGTATGTTCAGCCTTATTTTTCAAGTTAGTTTAATTTTTTTGTTAGGACTACTTGAAAAAACACAAAACGGTTCACACATTAACGTTGACCATTCGTTATGTATTCAAATGAATTTCTTGTAGAGAACTGCTTACACGGTCTGCAATCTAAGCTGCAAAACATATTCTCGAGACAATTTTGTGGGTAGCTGAAATACATAAATTTATTGAAGCACAAAAATTAGCTAAACTGAACAATGAAAATCTGTCGATGGTTTTGGAGTAAAGGAATATGATTTTAATTTATTTTCTATGTTAAATCAACCTCGTTCTAGAATCAATGCATTTAATACTGTGCAAATGATATCTTCATATAATAACATTCCAATATTTGAGATACAAATCATGTAGTAGTAATATCAACATATGATATTAAATTAAGTACACAAGACACATATTTTTGGAGCTATGATCGGTGGTAGCCAAATAAACACACGAGAGAATCGGAACCGCACGACTTTTCAGAAAACTACTATATCAGTCTTACGATAGTAATGACATAATTTCCATCCTTACAATAAACTTATCATAGATACCAGGGTTGAAGTTTTGTATGACAGAGGCGCGTTTCATCTTCGAAAGATTCATTAGTGACGCTCGAATCAAAAAGCTAAACATGTCAAACTAAGTACGAAGTTGAAGAGCATTATGGACCCAAAATTCCGAAAGGTTTTGCCAAATAAAGCTAAGGTAATATATTCCTGGGAAAAAAATTCTTAGTATGTTAAAAAGATTCAAAGTTTTGTAAACAGTTAAGTTATAATTATGACCATATCAATGACCATATCAATGATAATATTAATGATAATTCATGATAATATAGAGGACCTCTTTTACAACTGCTCTTAAAACAAATATTATCTTTTTTTTTTGGAAATTGCTCACAGATCACTCTATATACATGTAAACTATATAAACCCTACTCCACGTATTCTCCATGTTTAATAGTATACATGAAAAGTAAAATAACAAAAATACCAAACTCTAAGGAAAATTTAAAACGAAAAGTCCCTAAGCAAATGACAGATCCAAAAGCTCAAACACTTCGAACGAATGGAAAACAACTGTCATATTCCTGACTTGGTAAAAGCATTTCCTTATGTAGAAAATGGTGGATTAAACCGTTTTATAGCTAGCTAAACCTCTCATGTGCATAATATATCACAATGTTGATCATGGTGAGAGATAAATTGTATTGAATTACTTTTATTAAATAAACCAGTCACGTGCACTTGGTTTTAAGGTATGTGCGTATTTTATCAACAAATTTATATCGGCATCACAGTTAACATTTGATTGGTTTTTGCTTGTAAGCTATATGAACAAAACGAGTTTTACGTTTTGATGTGAAAAACAAAAGATCGGTCTAATGACCAATTGTAAAAAGCTAACTCGCTGTTTGTGGCCAAGTTATCAGACACTTCTTTGCTTACTTTAAGGATATTTATATATTCAAAAATATTTGTCATGAAGAAAGAAGTGACTCTTCTAAAACTCTGAAAGACAAGATGATAAAATGAGACAGGTCAACACAGTAGAAATCCTATGTTTTGATACCTTTCATTTCACCTCCTCCTATATACATGTATGCTTTAAAGACATCTTCAAATGCACTAGGAAAATTACAGAGCTATTGTGAAATCTAAAATTAATTACATGCCTCCCTCAAAAATCCTATAAGATGTCCTTAATTGTAATCCACTTTATTATCAATATATCAACTCGTTCAATATTTCCGTAATTCTAATGTTAAAAAAGTTTGATAATCATTTAAAACAACATATTGTTGACTTACACGATTTCGAAGGAGCGCATTCTTAAAATTCATTAATTCCTTTCAACTTTTAATGGTTGTATGGTTTAGGTATTAATATAAATTTTCATCCAAATCAAACTTCGATTAACGAAAAAAAACTAATTAAAATATTCAAGCTAGTTGTGTTATTATTTTTTTCAGATAAAGTAGATGGATTGTTAAATGTTGATTGTTTATATTTAACAGTGAGGTACAGGGCGGTTAAGTATATTCCATTGCCTTGTAAATACAACGGTACGGCCATCTGCAAACCCAAACAACCAGGAGATCCAGCTGTCATCAGACAGTGTCAAACTAGTAAAGATATAATTTTGCATAGTACTTATGTGTTCTCAAAACACGAATACAAAAATAGGAATATTGAAATAAAGTGCATTTGTAAAATAAAGGCGAAAGATAATAAAGAGATATTCAAACGTATAAGTCAAAAACAAAATTACAATGCCATGACAAAAAAAAAAACGACTAAAAGTCATTTTTACTTAACCAAATTTTCAAAAGGATAAATAAAGGTGACAGAAGATGAATGATGTTCAATTCTCGTAAATCGATTTCGGAGAGACAAATCAAGGTAACAAACAAAAACTGAGGAAATGGCATAAACTCCATTAGGAGAAAGACCGGATGAGTCGACAGTGGAAGGGTTTCCTTAATAGAACAGATATAGATTCGTATTTAAGAAATTTAAAGTAATCAATTAAAATTACTGATTAAAGAAAAATGAATGTAAAATATAAAAACATATTTATTTAATATTTCGGTTTTTTGTTGCAATCATTTTTGATTAATTGTTGCCTGTTCGACGTCCAATAGCAAATACTTCAAGCATATTCAGGTCGAGAACAATAACAACAACATTAACAATAAATCAAAGAAATATGTTTAAAAAGTGGATTGATAAAGGCTGGGTAAGACAACCACTGCATCACATTGAAGTATAAAGATCTTTATAGGAAACTTGATCATGGAAGTGAAATATAATTGGACATATTGTGGCGTGCATTTACTGAATTTGACCATAAACCATAAGAGTACAGGCACAAGTTTGATATTGAAGGGTCGAATTAGTGTCCATAGGAACACCTATAACCTGTCGATAAATTATGTAGCAAAAAGTTCATCAATCGTGTCAAGAAGAAGATTATCATCTTACCATAAGGCTTTATACGAGTTACAGCAAATAATTTTGCAACAGTTTTTCAAATGACTATTTAATCAAATACCAAAAAATGTGTTTGATACGATTATGTTAAAGTGTAGTGTTAACAGTCGAAAAGTCAAAACTGTCAATCAAAGGGACTATCACAATCAAGGTGAAATTTGATTATGCACACACTTCTTAATTCCTCAATGTATGATTTAGAATTTACTTAAACATGTGTAAATATATTGCACAGAAATGTTTACTGCAGCAAGTACAAAGGATGAAATATCAACAAGAGAAAGATCTACATCAAGTACAAAAGAGGAAATATCAGCAGAAGAAAGCAAATTCGCATCAACGACGATTTTAGCCTCGTCTAATGAAAGGACGGACGTAACTGCATTTTTAGCATCGAAAAAGTCAACAATATTATTAGCACCATCAATGCCGATCAAATCAATAATAGTTGTAGCATCATCAACGCCGAGCATGTCAACAGATAGCAAGTCAACGAATTTTGATTATACTAAACTTGTCAAAAGATCTTCGACAAAGGAACTTCATTTCAGCGTCACTACTACATTTAGTGAGTACTTTTATAATTTGTCTGTTTATCATTGGTACATCAATGTCATGTTTTTACATAAACACGTTGATTGTTTTAACGTATGACATTGCTTCTTTGTTTTGTATGGGCAACACGAAAAACTCTCTAAAAATGTGTTATAAAAGCAATTCAGTCTTTGATACATCGTCGAATTCGCAAATTTAAGAACTGTGTAAATGTCCGACCTAAGTACGTATTCAGAGACCAACAAGATGTGAAATTACTGTGCTCTCCTTTCAACACATATGGTGTTGTTTCTGCGGAAACAGCTTCAATTTGTCTGCATGTGAATCCTTTTACAACAAATCTTATCTGAGAATTTGAAATAAATTAACGTTATGTGATGCTACGTACAGACACGTAATTTTTGATGAGGATGATATCTTAGCAAACCATAAGTCCATCATGTCCTTGTTTAATACTTTTATGATTTTATATAAAAGTGACACCTAACATCCACGTATTGCAACATCAATCCGAATTCCGATAGCAAAAAATCTTATTCGGAAGACTCTGCATACATACTATTAGTATTTTATTTTAAATATATTACAAAATAATGATCACATGATGCTAGTATTACTAGACTTGCAATTGTTTTACATCAATCCGACACTAATTTAGTGTTTCGGCGGTTTTTGTATTATATGCTAATGATAAATGTATAACATTTATGAATGGGTTTAAGCATTGTAGGCCCGCCATCATCAGGGATTTACCTTTCAGTTTATTTTAATTTTGTCGTTGTCAATAGATCTGCTATATTTTTATGCTTTTTATGAGCTATTATTAGTTTGCTTGAAAAAATTTCGTTGCATACCGCATCCTGTTTTAGTAGATCCCAATGTTTACTAATGCATTGTTTTTATTTATGAATGCATGGATTGAATTTCGTTGCCAATACTAAAGGAATTTCCTTTGTGTGTATTTTGGCCTTTTTTCTGAATAAATCAGATCTATCACATGATAATGCCTCATTTATATACTGTTCGATTTCAATCACCTTGTATCCTCTTTTTATTAAGTTCAATCTGAACTTCACAAAATATGTTGTAAATCATCAGTATTATTTGTTGTTCTAATGTATCTGATAACTCTACCCTTGATAAAACATGCAAACAAGTGTCGACTGTGACAGCTTTTACGATGTAGATAAAGGAAAGCATTTGTTGGTTTAAAATGTGTTTTCACATACAAGATGTTTTCATTAGAAAACCTCGTTCCTTTGAAAATATTAACATCAAGAAATATTATTTCTTTAGATGAACATTCTAGTGTGAATTTTAAGAACGGATGATGATTATTTGCTAACTCTAACAAATCCTTCATTTCCTTCATGTCGCCGTGATATATTAATAAAATATCATAACGATACCTACCATAGAAAAAAATATATTTTCTATGTTCAAACTTAGAAAGAATTTCTTTCATAATATTATACATGAGTATATCACAGATTTCCGGGCTTGGCACTGCTCCTATCGCAGCGCCTAATTTTTGCTTATAAAGCTGTCCATTAAAATCAAAAATGTTGTGTTCTAAAATTGATCTGAGGAGATATATTAAATCATCCGTAGGTGGGCATTTGATTTTGTAATCTGATTTATCAAACTGTTCATACGAAATTCTAACTAATAATTCATTAATCAGGCAATTAGTGTACATTGATACTACATCAAAGCTACAAAGCCAGTAATATGCAATAGGCTTGATCCTTTCCAACTTGTATACTAGATCAGACGTATCTTTCATATAAGAGTGTTGTTTCTGTACTTTAGGTACTAGAAAATAATGGATATAGCTTCCAATAAATTCCGTGACAGTACCAATCTGAGTTATGATTGGCCGACATGGCGGCATACTTTTTTCAAGGTTAAACCCATATTTATTGATTTTTACTTATTCCGATTCATTTAATCGATGTATTTTAGGCAAAATATGCATATACCCAGGCCCATAATTGATTTGATTACCATTATTAAGGTAATTAAATGTGGAGTAATCTATAACACCTTTGGTGTACATTTTTTTGTACATGCCTTTCACATATGTATTGATATTACATCTAAGTGTTTTTAGGTCAAAATTTTCCAATTTGGTGTAATGTTGTGTATTTAATTGGCGATCGCCTTCAAGTAGGTAATTGACCTTATCTAAAATAACAACATTATTACTTTTATCGGCTTTCTTAATGATTAATGATTCATCATTTAACAGAGAAGAAATGCCGGACCTCTGTGAAACACTTAAATTGTTTCGAAATTTTGGAATTTGCATTGAAGATAATTCATACTTTGTATTAAACAGGTAATTTTCAAGGGTGTTGCAGGTTAAAGGTGGTGTGTGTCCAGATTTTACTCTGAAGGGATGAATTTCATCCAAGTTACCATGATATAAGAAACGACATCTCATTTTCCTGGCTAATTCATCGAAATCATGTAATAAATCCTGCTTTGCCTTTTTGACTGACGGTGAAGGAATGAATTTTAAACCTCTGGATAATACCAAATACACGTCATTAATTAATTTTCTATTCGAAAGATTAACAACATGTTTTCTAGCTTGTGGTAGCATAAATTTTAGCTTACTTTGCTGCATTGCAGCTTTATTTTTCAGCCTTCGTTTATGTTTATTTCTTTTTGCATATTTCATATAATGTATAGCCATTTCTGTGATCACAGAGACTAGTATCTGAAAGACTATTATCAATGCAATATCAACAACATAGTATGTATACGGAGTATTCCGAATAAGATTTTTTGCTATCGGAATTCGGATTGATGTTGGAATACGTGGATGTTAGGTGTCACTTTTATACAAAGCAATGAATGTAGAATATAAAAAAAATATTTATTTAATATTTCGGTTTTTTGTTGCAATCACTTTTGATTTATTGTTGCCTGTTCGACGTCCAATAGCAAATACTTCAAGCATATTCAGGTCGAGAACAATAATAACAACATTAACAATAAATCAAAGAAATATGTTTAAAAAGTGGATTGATAAAGGCTGGGTAAGACAACCATTGCACTACATCGAAGTATAACGATCTTTATAGGAAACTTGATCATGGAAGTGAAATATAATTGGATATATTGTGGCGTGTATTTACTGAATTTGACCATAAACCATAACAGTACAGGCACAAGTTTGATATTGAAGGGTCGAATTAGTGTCCATAGGAACACCTATAACCTGTCGATAGATTATATTGCAAAAAGTTCATAAATCTTGTCAAGAAGAAGATTATCATCTTACCATAAGGCTTTATACGAGTTACAGCAAATAATTTTGCATCATTTTTGCAAACTACTATTTAATTGAATACCAAAAAATGTGTTTGATACGATTATGTTAAAGGGTAGTGTTAACAGTCGAAAAGTCAAAACTGTCAATTAAAAGGACTATCACAATCAAGGTGAAATTTGATTATGCACACACTTCTTAATTTTATCATTCCTCAATGTATGATTTAGAGTTTACTTAAACATGTGTAAATATATTGCACAGAAATGTTTACTGCAGCAAGTATAAATGATGAAATATCAACAAGAGAAAGATCTACATCAAGTACAAAAGAGGAAATATCAGCAGAAGAAAGCAAATTCTCGTCAACGACGATTTTACCCTCGTCTCATGAAAGGACGGACGTAACCGCATTTTTTGCATCGAAAAAGTCAACAATATTTTTAGCACCATCAATGCCGATCAAATCAATAAAAGTTGTAGCATCATCAACGCCGATCATGTCAACAGATAGCAAATCAACGAATTTAGATTATACTAAACTTGTCAAAAGATCTTCGACAAAGGAACTTCATTTCAGCGTCACTACTACATTTAGTGAGTACTTTTATAATTTGTCTGTTTATCATTTGTACATCAATGTCATGTTTTTACATAAACACGTTGATTTTTTTAACGTATAAATGTATATGAATGTTGCTTCTCTGTTTTGTATAGGCAACACAAAAACTCTCTCAAAATGTGTTATAAAAGCAATCCAGTCTTTGATACATCGTCGAATTCGCAAATTTAAGAACTGTGTAAATGTCCGACCTAAGTACGTATTCAGAGAACAACAAGATGTGAAATTACTGTGCTCTCCTTTCAACACATATGGTGTTGTTTCTGCGGAAACAGCTTCAATTTGTCTGTGAATCCTTTAACAACAAGTGTCTTATCTGAGAATCTGAAATAAATTAACGTTATGTGATGCTACGTTCATGTACAGACACGTAATTTTTGATGAGGATGATATCTTAACAAACCATAAGTCCATCATGTCCTTGTTTAATACTTTTATGAGCAACCAATCTGACAACTTACCTTAGATGTATTGATTACACGTTACACGCCGGCTAATCTGTATGTTACTTTAAAAAATTGTCCCTTAGTTTAACCCAAATTGCGTCCGCAGTGCAAGAGGGTTTACAGAAATACTGTCATTCTGTTTTCTGTCGTAGTGGTATTAACCATATGTTTATTCTTGAGAACTCAAATGAACTTCAGAAACATTTAATTTCTCTGTCATTCTCTGAAATAAATTATATCAAAATCTTTAATTGGTCTACCCTTTACCCCACCATAACCCATGAAAAATTGAAAAAAACACGACGTCAAGAAATAATCCCCAGTACTTTCTACCGTAAAAAAGGATACCATACGCTAGACATTTATTGGTTTGGGTACACTTGGGCATATTTTGTCGAAAATGAGCCCGAAAATAAAATATGATACACCAAAAAACAAGTGTTCAGTATTCTCGACTTTCTGATTGACAACATGTTTGTTGAATTCAGAGGTAGAGTTTTCCGGCAAACTGTCACCATTCATACGGGTGCGCGCCTCTCCTGGACGATCTTTTTTTTCATTTTAGTCGGGATTTCCTCAGACCTTTGTAAAACAAAAAGATTAAAGAATGTAGATCATTTTATTTCACATTCATGTATATTCGTGATGCTGTTTCCATTAACAAT